CAGTGTTCACTGCACGAGTACAAGGTAGACATCTGTTGTCTGTCCGAAGTCCGATTACCTAACTGTGGCACAAAACTAATCAACATACCACATACCAACGCAACCTACCGGTTATACCACAGCGGCCCAACTGACAACTCCGGTTTGCACGGGGTAGCAATCGCCGTGAGCGGCTTCAATTTTAGTCCCGGTCCCAAAAAAGGGTGACACATCTAGATGCGAAAATTACAGAGGTATTAGTCTGATTGATATTGCAGCCAAATTGTTTGCAGTGATACTGCTTAATCGCTTCGCAGTCGTCAGGGATACCCACACTCGCCCGAAACAAGGGGGTTTTCTCCGAGGAAGAGGCTTTGTTGAACAAATCTTCACTCTCCGAAGAATTCTGGAACACCGCTACAAGTTCCAACAGCCTACCACCGCATGTTTCATTGACTTCCGCGCTGCGTTTGACTCTGCCGATAGAGAATCCTTGTGGTGCATATTGCGGTAAGACGGGATACCTGAGAAGTTCATCAGGCTTTCAAAGTCATACTACTCAGGAACCCGGGCACGCGTCCGTACCTATGGAGAAGAATCGGCTGAGTTCACCCCAAGCTCTGGAGTTAGGCAAGGTTGTCCCCTATCGCCAGTGTTATTCAATTACACCGTAGATTGGATAATGCGACAAGCACTCATCGACTATCCCGGAGTGCAGCCTAGCCCAGACCTCGAGTTTGCGGATGATGTCGTCGTACTTAGAGACACCATGGACAACCTACAGCCTGTTGTCAGTCGTATAAATCTGTTTGCCAAGTACATTGGGCTGGAGATAAACACATCGAAAACGAAGACATTTTCGACCGAAACTTCTACCACGACACAACCCCTCTCGATCAACGGGGAGCTTGTCGAATCAACCGAAGTTTTCAAGTATCTTGGCTCTACGATAGGACCAAACGGCCAGGCTAAGGATGAAATCCAACTCCCTGTAGGTGGAGCTAGAAGAGCCTTCCTACAACTCCTCAAACCGTTGTGGAATCGATGCGAAATAAGCTTAAGCACTAAGCTTCGGGTTTACCAGGCTTCTATCCGCCCGATCCTCACTTATTCTTGTGAAACCTGGCCACTAGAGTACAAGATATAAGGAAGCTCGAAGTCTTTGATCATTGGTACTCAGGCCGCATCTTGAAAGTAAATAGGAGAGATCGGATTTCCAATGATGAGGTTCGACGGCGCTGCCTGAACATTGACAAGCTTTCAAAAATGCTACAACGTCGGCGCCTTCAGTGGTTTGGCCACATGCTCCGACGACCCGACACTCAACTCTCGCGACAGGCTTCAGCCCCCGCACCATGCCGTGGATGGCGTTGCAGACTCGGTGGTCAATTGAAGACCTGAAGCAATACGATCAAGGCGGATTTGGAATTACTGGGTCTTCAATCCGTATATGGAATTCGCAAATGGAACCAGAACTGGGTTTCACAGTGCGTCAACCTTGCTACCGATCGTCATGTATGGACCGCCATCATTAGAGACATCCGGAAGCCGACTTATCCTCCCGCAGGAGTTAGTCGATAAAAAAAAAGTAAAATTAAGTAAGTAAGATCAAGTGTATTGAACACAACATATTGAGTCACCTTTTCGACTAGTTCATCCACTCGTGGCAGAGGATAAGCATCCAGATAATGACGACTTGTTTCAAACGTTTAAAAGGTCCCACGGAGCTCATAATGAAAACACAAATTGGCAAACCAGCTCGTTTTCAGTGTGTCTTAATCATGCCATTACAACACAATAAATATGACTAGTATCAAAGAAGGATTTACAAGGAAAAAGAGAGGGAAAGTAATTAAAGTATTCAAGAGCTTGTTTCATAATTGGTCCCCAATTATCACTTGCTCCGATGTTGCATAACAAGTCACTTGTCAGCGATCCGGCCATGGGAGCTTGAGTGCTTGCACAAATTGTTTCTGAGCACACAGAGGGGGATTGTGAAGACGGATGGAAACTGCCTCCGCTGTGGCTAGAATGCGAAACCGCACGTGTCTAGACCATCCCGTCTTAACTCTATACAGGGATCGGAACGCTTCGGTCACGTTTACAATGTGATTAGTGTCGACAAGGTGCGACACGACGGCACTTGTGATTGACTTAATTGCTCCACTTCGCAACCATGCAGGGTGATGCTCACGGACGCGCTCGTACAGACGCCTGGTCGTGCGGCCAACATACTTTGCTCCACAGGAACAAGTGAAAGAGTAAATACAGAAAGAGGCGGCAGAATCAGGCACTCTATCCTTCAACCGTAAATACACCAGCGGGCTAAATGCGAATCGAGTTTGAAGCTTAGCCGCGTAGAACGTTTTGTTGATGGCACTTGATAACCTTCTATGCACAATCTCTGCCAAGGTGTCACCTTTAGACGGTAAAGAAATGTTTACAGACTTCTTCTCAGCAATTACCCTCTTGGGAAATGCCTCTTGCCCTTGCATCACAGATTCCACTAAACGCTCCGGATATCCATTCTGGATGAAGATATTGCGCACATTTTGGAGTTCTCAACCAGCATGTCCTGCGTGCAAATTTGTCTAGATCTATTGACCAAACAAAGTATGAGATTCTTCTTCATACTGAGTGGTACAAAGCTACGGAAATGAAGGTACTGCCCATTCCAAGTCGCCTTCATGTGTACTGACCGCCTGATGGATCCGTCATCACAGCGAGTTAGGCAGACATCTAAATATGTTAGCTGATTGTTTGCTTCATTTGCAATCGTGAATTTCAAATTTCGATGCGCAGCATTGAAATGATCTAGTATATTTGAACACTCCGTTGTAGAATCGACCACGCACAAAATATCGTCTACGTAACTTTTGTACAGTACGCATTGTTTGATATGTTTTAAGTGGACCGTTTTCTATTTTAGACATGAACACATCGGCAAACAAGGGCCCTAGAGGGGATCTCATTGCTACACCGTCCTTCTGGCATTTTTCCTCATTGAATTTGAATTGCACATTGTGAGTATAGAAGAATAACAATTCTTTAAGGTCATCTGTCGGTAGGCCTACGTCAATTCCGTTATTTTCGATATAGGTGCATAAATAACCAATTGTTTCACAGATCGGAACATTCGTGAACAGAGATGTGACATCTAGCAAAAACATGTGGCGATCTTTGATGTTTAAACCACTCAAGGCGTCAATGAGACCGGTTGCATCCTTGAAGCTATGCTGGGTTAATGTCATCCTCACTGGTTCCAGAAGACGAGCCAACCATTTGGCTACCGCATGGTAAGGAGAGTTGCACATGTCCAAGATTGGCCTGAGTGGAACTCCACTCTTATGTACTTTGGGCAGCCCGTACAATCGTGGAATCGTAGTCCCTGTTGGTCGAATCCGTTCAAACGTGGCGGTGTCTATAGAGTCCTTTTGTTTAAGTTTTCTTAATATGGTAGAAAGGGACTTCTCTATTTGGGGTGTCTTGTCATTCTCATGGGCCATTTTTGTGAACTTCGATTCATCATTCAGAATTGTCGATACCTTCCCGACATAATCTGATTTATTAAGCAAGACGATACCAGATCCCTTGTCCGGTTTCGTGATGATAACTTCCTTGTTCTGTTGTACCTCTCTTAGCCTTTGTGGATGCTGTTTCATTATTAATCCATTAGTCGATGATTTGGCACTCTGATATTGATAACATGTGTTCACCAGAGTAGA